TAATGTCATTAAAAAAAAGAACTCTACTAACAAATTTGGACATATCATTTAAGAAAAATTGGAACAAGAAATTATAGCAAGTTTAAAGAAAAAAAACTCTACTGACGAGCAAACTAGTAAATTTGAAAATGTTAATGACGAAAAATGTTAGGACCCTACTGACAAGCAAAAATATATTGAGGTCATTTTAGAGAACTGAAAAAACTCTACTGACGAGCAAATTCGAAAATTATTAGTTCAGAAAAAAGAACTCTACTAACGATCAAACTAAAATTCTATATATCAAAACTTCTATATACCAAAATTTATTAATATAGTATATATTATTGGGCAATAACAATATTATATATTGTTGAAAACCTCATAAAATCGTCTACTAAACTGTATATAACATTTAATAACATTTCAAACAAAATTGCTTAAGAAAAATCCACAAAAATTTAAAATTTATGTACCAAGTAATTAGCCATTGGTTACATTTTTTAATATTCAGCATTATTATTATAAAATTTATATATATATATATATATACATATATACATATATACCATGATATATTATTAAAAACTAGATAAAATTATCTATAAATCTGTATATAACAATTTGTAACTTTTGGAACAAAATTATGCAAAAATAATTAGTTAAACTTTGCAATCAAAATCTTGATAAGGCACTCACATTGTTTTAGCTTCAACTGTAAATTTATTTTGTTTGAATTTAATTGAATATGTTGTAATTATTATATATCATTAGAAAGCTGATTAAATTATCTATAAATCTGTATCTAACAATTTAAAACTCTTCGAGCAAAATTGTAAAGAAAAAAATGGTTCAACTTTGAACAGACAAAACTAACTTATAAAATACTCATATTTGTTTACTATATAACAACTAAACCATTCTTTGAATATAAACAATGTCTTCAGCAAATTTGTTCAAAATTAAATTATAAACAATATTATCTAACATCATATAGCCATACAGCAACTCGGTATGCTCTAAAAACTCTTAAAAACACATACAACTTTGCTTTGTAAAGAACTCTTATAATAAAAACGGTGGAAGCATAGTTGTACACAAATAAATTGTTTTGTTGTAACTTTCAAGCCATTCGTTTAATATGAATGATGCCTTCGGTGAATTAATACAAAATTAAATTATAAACATCATTGTCTAACATCACAATGCCCTATAGTAACTCGGTGTACTCTAAAATGCAATATTTTAAGGCTGCGATGAACTTTAGGTTAATCTGTATGTTGAACTTTACATATTAATGTAAATTTAAACTTTCTATATCTTGTAAATGACCTTCTAGCAACTATTCGAAATCATTTTAAGCATCCCAAGACTAATGGAATATAATTGAACTTTAAGATGTTCACAGTATGTAAGTTAAGGTTAGGTTAGTTTGTTAGTTAACAAAATTCCTAATGTCATTACTCGACTATGTTCCAAAGGTCTAAAAAAGCTTTATTTGTATTTCAAGCACATCAGCCATGTCCCCTTAACAGTTAATTACAAAAACCTTCGATACAATTCTTAAAAACTACGTAATAAATTTAATATCCATCTTACCATAAATCTGCTCGCAACTGAAATGCCTCACAAGCCCCTTCTTTCCAAAAGGTGTGTTCAAGTTCACAAATTTAGGCACCGGAGAGTTATAAATCTAAAATGAACAATGACCATTAATAATTCTATTACTTCCTCAATAATGTGCATGTGTATTATCACATACACTCGTATTTCTAGTAGGAGAAGCAAAAGTTAATGTACTCAAATCCGACAGAGACGAAGAACGATTTAGTTTATGGTTTACATCAAACGAATCCATTGTGTAGAAAAACAAACAAAAACACTAGCATAACCTTAAAAATTATAACAGATGTAAAACAACTTTACGACAGAACAATACATTTAACAATGATTAAAATGATAATGGAAACAAGATGCAAAGTTTTAACGTGACAAAATTTGCAACGGTCACTCAGAAAACCATTTTGCAACTGTCAACATAACCACAAATATTGGAAAAAAATTATTGACACAAATTTAATATTTATTTATTACCAATAACTAATCCAAGAGTGTATTATCCTTGTTGAAATATGTTTTAGTATTAAATACTATTCTAAAACTCACCTTTTAGCACAAATTGTCCGGAATAAAAAAAATCAAAAATCCGCGCTTTGACATTTGTGAGTAAACTATTGCCAATGTTGAGAATTGCATTAATAAATAGAATTTTATTTTAAACAATATTTTAAATGTTTTTTGGTGCAATATTAAATTCTAAACGGGATTTATAAGTTTTTAGATAATTTAGACCTGATTTTAAAACGCTTTTTAACAATTGAATTAATAATCACGAGTTGACAGGTGAAGTTGGTTGCGCGCGAAATTCAAATTTCAAAATTTCGAATGCAAAGTATATATTTATTATATTTTCTTGTTACTTGTAGCTGTAAGTTTTAAATATATATTAAATATTGTTGAATATGTATATTTGTATAATTATGTTAATATAAACTAGGTGTAAGTGGCATTTCGCTTTAAAGCAATTTGCATGATCTTTCCCATGTGTTAATATTAAATAAGTATACATTAATTTATAAGTATACAAAGTTGCTGTAGGGCTTTATAATGTTAGACAATATTGTAGTTTAGGCAATTTTGTACAAATTTGCTAAATATATGAGATATTTTTGCCAAATAGTTTGAAAGTTATTAATTATTGAACATAAACACTGCGTTTTGGTTTCGAAAATCATGCTAAACTTTAATGAAGTCATAATTAAATTTTTTTACAGGTTCATAATATTTTATGAAGAAATGATCAGGATGATTTTTACCAAAAACTAATGAGTAAGACTCCAATTTTCTAATATTAGTTTTATAGTTATACAGTTTTTATCTATTAATGTTAATCTTTATTTTAATTTATAGTTGCAGTTTTCGATTTGCACGTTTATTTTGTTATAAATATTTGAAATATAACAATAGTATTATATATTGTTAGAAAGCTAATAAAATTATCTACAAATCTGTATATAACATTTTATAACTCTGCTAACAAAATTTAATATGAAAAATATGTGAAATTTAAAATTTAGTATCTAGTTAATAGGCATTGGTGGATTTCATTGGTTACATTTTTTTATATTTGGATCAAATTTCTAACTTATTTTATTGAACGTATATATATATATATATATATTATATATTGTTAGAAAGCTAATAAAATTATCTACAAATCTGTATATAACGTTTAACAACTTTTAGAACAAAATTTAATATGAAAAGTGTGTGAAGTTTAAAATTTAGTTTTATTTATTAGTCATTGGGAACATTTTTTTATATTCAGTATTATTTTGTTAAAGTTTATCTTTATTATTGAATATTGTGATATATGTTTGAAAACTAGATAAAATTATCTACAAATTTGTATATAACTTTTTATAACTTTGCTAACAAAATTTAATATAAAAAATGTGTGAAGTTTAAAATTTAGTATCTAGTTATTAAACATTGGGTACATTTTTTTATATTCAGTATTATTTTGTTAAAGTTTTTTTTTATTCTTGTATATTATGATATATTTTTAAAAACTAGATAAAATTATCTATATATCTATATATTTTGTTTAAATTTAATTAAATATATTGACATTATTATATATCATTAGAAAGCTAATAAAATTATCTACAAATCAAAATATTTTTGATTATAATACAAAAATATTTTCTACAAAATTATGTAAAAAAATGGTTTTGTGAATGTGAATTCACAAAACTTAAAATTTATAACCTAAAAATTCGGATCTTATTTTAAATCTGGATAAACTTTGTTAAAAAAAATTAAATATTTATATTGTATTATATATTATTGAAAAACCTATAAAATTATCTTTAAATCTGTGTATAATAATTTATACCTTTTGGAACAAAATTATATTTAAAAAAACCTTTAAACTTTAACATTAAATTTTGTTGATTTTTTTGCAATCCAAAACATTAATTTATGAAAATATTAATTAATAATATATGTTGTAATTATTATATATCATTAGAAAGCTAATAAAATTATCTACAAACCTGTATATAGCAATTTTTAACTTCTGGAACTAAATAATATTAGATAAATAGTATGAATAAAACACATTTCATAGTGGCTATATAAATTTTAAAACGATCATGACTATATAAAATAAAGCAGATAGTTTTATATACAAATTACTACTTAAAACCTTTTAAAATTGAAAAATATTTAGAAAAAAATGTAAATAAATTATCTTATTAAGAATTTATATAGTTAAAATAATTATATAACGAATATATACAGTTTTTTCATACTATTTACTAACATTACTAAACAAAAACCTACAAATTGATAACATAATTACAAATTTTAACTCAAATCGTATCAAATTCAAATTTCAAATCTGGTCACTTTGCCGCCATTACGTTTCTTTCTAACAAAATGTCATGTCAAAGTTTAATGAATTATTTTTATATAATTTTGTTCTAACAGTTACAAATTGTTATATACAGATTTAAAGATAACTTAATAAACTTTCTAACAGTATATAAAAATATACATAAAAGTAGTAGATAAAAAATGTAACCAACAATGGCTAATTAGACATTAAATTTTTGAATTCACTCATTTTCCCTATATAAAATTATTCACAAGGTTATAAAACATAAAACACACTTATTTATGTAATACACTACAGCATATTAGCTATACACAATTTCATTATTATTGTTATAATTCTACTTTCCAGGTTACAATTTCAACTCAAATTCAAATTTCAAATCACCCCACATTCCCGCCATTGCATTTAATCCCACCAACACAAGTGTTAACAGCGGCAACACGTTTCGTACCTTCCTTTCCGGTTCATGTTCGATGTGAGTGGACGTGTGTTGTGTATTTATTAATTTCGGTAAGTTCTTCAATGGCCAGTTAATTTGTGATAAACTATAAAACACGAACCGGTATGTAATTGACTTAGAAAATAAAATTATAGATCCGCCATTGCTATAGGCATTTTTGTAATAGTAGTACACGACATAACCTCAACTTGTTAGACTGACTTACAAGTATTGATACATTATTATATATAAGTATTTGTTATTAAGAGTTGTGTTTGGGTGATTCTAATACTTATTGTGTTTCCTTTAGTATAATGGCTGATACAGAAATGGAAACATACGAGGACATGGCCCCAGCCCATGTGGAGCCTGTTGCTCAGCCTGCGGAGCTCCCTGAAATCAAATTGTTCGGTCGGTGGAGTTGTGATGATGTACAAGTCTCTGATATGTCACTACAGGTAAGATAATTGATTGATGTGTTGGGTGTTCGACAAGTTTTTATTGGGGAAAAAGATTGAACAAGTTAACTCCTTAATGGCTTTTCTTTTGAATAATAATTAAGAATTAATAATTCAAAAGTTAGAACAAAACTGGTTCTGATAATGGATTGAAAATAGAAGCTTTTGTCAAAAAGGTTGGGTAGGCCACTGCAAACGAGTTTTTAAATAGCCACAAGTGGGTTTGGGTTTTATATAAGTCCTTTAAAATGCTATTTTATCGCATACAATTGATATTATAGTTTCGCTTATGGACAATATTAATGATGACATATAATCCTAGACTTATAGTTTATTCGTATTATATTTCTTTGGAAAGTATTTCTACAATTGACTTGATCCAATTACTACTAGTTTAGAGTTAATCATTTAATTTTATTATTACTTTACTGACTATTATTTCTTTTTTAGGATTACATCGCCGTCAAAGAAAAGAACGCCAAATATCTACCCCACTCTGCTGGTAGATATGCTGCCAAGCGTTTCCGCAAAGCCCAGTGCCCCATCGTAGAACGTCTGACCAACTCCCTGATGATGCACGGACGTAACAATGGCAAAAAATTGATGGCCATCCGTATTGTCAAGCACGCTTTTGAAATCATTCATTTGCTTACTGGAGAAAATCCATTACAGGTAATAAAAATAATCATTGTAATTGATGGTAAAACATAACGTAACCTCCAAATGGCACAATGTCAAAAGATAGTGTATCTAGGGTGTATGCAACTAAATTTTTATTTAGTTATTGGGTTGGTCCAAATATAGTGCTGTGTCTGTCACTTCAATTGACGACTTGGTTTCCCATTTGGACTAGAAGAAAAGCTGTAATAAAACTGGATATACGTTTATTTAATAACGATGTATCTGGAACCATACTGCAACACAAACTGTTAAACTCCTTTTAGCATTAATTGTGCTCTTTTGAAATTATTTATTCAATTCTATTATTTTTTTAAATTTATTATTTTTTCACTTATTTTTAAAGTTTTTAAGTTAAATTTAACCTAACATAACCTCAAAAAAACTTGACGAGTTTAATTTAATTACTGATTTGCTTTTAAATCAGGTAATAGAAAGCATTATATAGATCATATTTTTGACAAATACCAAGAAATAATGGATAAATACATTTTTGCAAAGCTTTTGCTCAAATTGTAAGATTTATATTTGACAATTCAACCATCTTTAAGTTAATTTTTAGGTTGTGTCATTAAATTTAATTTTAATTTTTAATTAGCAAGGTTTTTGCTCATACCGGTTTAAGAGTTTTATGAATTATTTTTTGATAAATCTATACAATTACTATTGTATTGATGCAATGTTGCAAAAGTTTTGCTGAAATTGTAGAAATATTTGACAGTTGTTTGGATAACTTTGAATTTTTTAGGTTATTTTTAAATCTAATTTAAAACTTGAAAGATTTTCTTTATTGCTGGTATAATAAAGGACGTTTTACACATTTATTTTTGATAAATATGAAAAAATACTGGATAATTTTATTCATTCATTATTGCAAAGTTTTTGTTCAATTTGTAAAATTATTGACAGTTGTTCAGCCATTTGCAAAAGGTTTTTGTAGATTACGTCATTAAATTTAATTTGAAACTTCTCAATATTCAATACTTTTTTCATCGGTTTAATAGTTCTTCTTAAATTTATGTATGTAATACATTATTAAATATGTATATTACGTTCCATAAAGACTGTTTGACAAGGTTTTTGATCAAAATTTTAGACTCTGAGCAAACCTAACCTTTAATGACTGTATCTTTACAATCTATTAACTTGGTTCACCTTTATTTCTTTTAACATTTATCTAAGAACATGTTATGTAACCACATTTTAAGTGGGCATTTTTTACTTGTTTTTTTATACTAATTTTTAAATAACTATTTTTACTAGTTTGCATAGATATCTTGTTAAGAATAGTTATTTTGGACCTTTTTCTTTGAATTCACTTTTTGGCCCTTTTGGAATGATGAAGACTCTGGTTTACCTTCAATGAAAACCTAAAATATGTACGAACAGATTTTTCAGATAAGTGTATCTATAATCTATTTAATTACAATAATTTTTGTTTATCTTTATAAATTTAAACTCATATTCCAGAAGTTTGAAGTTTTTAAAGAATTTTGTTTCAAGTGTGAATCCTGGTTCAATTCTCTTATTTTACTTCTTACTAGAATTCTTTCGCTGTCTAATATCACATTTAATTTTTTTTTAAACACAAATTTGCATTTATCTGCATTTACATTTTACAAATAATTTCTCAATTTGCTCATCAGTAGAGTTCTTTCTCTTACAATTTTAATGATTTTTACATTTAGTAACCAGTTTTTACTCAAATTAATCTCTTAAGTAGTTTTTTTTTTGCTATGTATGTCCGTCGGTAGATTCTTTTTTCCAAATTTGCCCATCAATTGTTTCTAAACATTTTTTTTAATTTGCTTGTCAGTACAGTTCCATTCATTTCCAAACTAATAACTTCTTTACTTGCTCATAAGTCCAGTTCTTTTTCTTGAATTTCTTGAAATAACTTGCTTGTCAGTAGAGTTCTTTTTCTAAACTAATATTTGCATTTTTTCTTAATTTCCTTGCCAGTAGAGTTCTTTTTTCTAGTCACCTTTTAGATTTTTTTTGTTTGCTGGTTGGTCTTACATTTTAAATAATGATTATTGTGGTCAAGTTTGATTTCAAGTTTTTTACCGAATTGTATAAGTTTTTTCTTAAGATCAAAAATTTCAACTAGCTCCCCAGTAGATTTCTAAGCAATTTCCAGAATTGCTCATAAGTAGATTTTTTTCTCCAATTTATCAATAAAATCTAATTTGCTTGTCAGTAGTTCAATTTTCTGAATTTGCTCAACAGTAGAGTTCTTAAATTTTCTGATCAATAATTTCCAAAACTGCTCATATCAGAGTTATTTTTTTCTTCTTAAAAACTATTTTATCATTATCTTTATAGTCTTGCCCGTCGTTACGTTTTACATTTTTTTACATTTGTTTTTCAGTGAGTTTCTTTACTCCAATAATTTTCTCCAAACTTTGTCTTAATCTGCTTGTTAGGAAAGTTCTTCTAAAAGAACTAAGTGTCTAAAATAACATTTCAATTTAATTCATGAATAGCTCTATGTTGTTAAACAAATAATTTGATGTTGGTTGTCAGTAGAGTCACTTTATATATATATATATATATATATATATATAGATATATATCTATATATATATATATATAGATCTATATCTATATATATATATAGATCTATATCTATATATATATATATATAGATCTATATCTATATATATATATATATATATATATATATATATATATATATATCCGTGTGTGTGTATGTATGTATGTATATTGAGGCAGCTTGCCTTAAGAAAAAATGCCACTTACATCTAGTCAGAAAAATAAAACTAATTGCATACATTTGTTCTAAAAAATTATTGGCGTAACGCTCACCGTGCGTACCCGAGCCTAAGCAAAAACATACGAAAAACCTTTCCGTTAGGTTCGGACAACACCGCCAGCGCTCATAAATTCCACTAATTTATTATAATTAACTACCTCTTTATCATCTAACAAACTTCTTTCAATCATTCATGTTATTTATCAAACTATTTCCTATCTTTTCTAGATCTTGGTAACGGCCATCATCAACTTTTTAATTATGTAAAATTTACCTTAAGGTAAAATATCACTTACACTTTGTTCATAACAGTAGAACCGAAAACTAATAAATAGTAAATAATAAATTTACACTGAAAATATTGGCGTAACGCTCACCATGCGCACCCGAGCCTAAGTAAAAACGTATGAAAAAGCGTCGTATTAGGTTCGGAAGACATGGCAAGCACTCCAGAATTTAAACTAAATCATGTATAAATAGCATGTATTTATCATCTAATTTAATATAAAAAGAACTTTACTGTGAAGTGTAAAATGAACACTATTTGCAAGCAAATTATGATAATTATATTACTGAAATTTTGTAAAAAAAAACTTTACTTATTATTTTTACATACCTATTTATAAAGCCAGTTTATTTTAGTTAAATATTTATTCTTAAACTGGAGCCGACAACGGAGCGTAAAGGGTTAATTCTGGCTAAAGTTATAAAGTTCACTTATATACTTTAAACAAATAATTTCAACTTTCCAACTCAGTTTATATAATTCTTATAAATATTGAACAATGTTTCAGTATTTACAATAATCTATTTGAAAACATTTGATATTCATGACACTACTTTTCTACTACCTTATGATACAATTTCTTTCAATTATCTAATACTTATCAAACTATTTAATTATCTTTTCCAGATCTTGGTAACCGCCATCATAAACTCAGGCCCCCGCGAAGACTCTACGCGTATCGGTCGCGCCGGCACCGTTCGTCGTCAGGCCGTCGACGTGTCTCCTCTGCGTCGCGTCAACCAGGCCATCTGGCTGCTGTGCACCGGAGCTCGCGAGGCCGCCTTCAGGAACATTAAGACGATCGCCGAATGCGTAGCTGATGAACTTATCAACGCTGCTAAGGTAAGATGTAAAGGATAGATGATTGTAATAAAAGATATAGATATGTGTATGTGAAAGCGGAGTAGCTAGATGTGAAAGAGATAGTTCGGAGATAATTTGAAGTAAATAGATGTGGAAGAAATAGATGGATGGTTGTGAATGAAATATAGATAGATTTGAAAGAGATATAGATAGATGATGTGAAAGGGAGATTAATAAGAGTGAAAGAAAGAGATAAAAAAGAGTGAAAGAAAGATAGATTTGGAATAGATAAAGATAAATTATTATTTTTAAAATAGATAAAAAGATAAATGTGAAAGAGATACAGATATGAAAGCTAGACGGATCAATGTCAAATAGATGGGTGTGAAAGAAATTGATATAGATAGATTTGAAAAAGAGATAAATACATTTAAGAGAAAAAAATAAATCTAAAAAAGCGGTGGATAGATGTGAATAAGATAAATAAATTTGAGAGATAGATAAGTGATAAGATGATGGTTTTGGAAGATAAATAAGAGATAGGTAGATTTGAAAGAGATATAAATAAATTCAAAAGAGATAGGTAGATTTGAAAGAGACCAATAGATTTGAAAGAGATACACAAATGAAAAAAAAATCTATATATCAATAATAAGCAACCCTTCAGGTAGTACTTCTGTTTTTTTTGGTCTACGAAGCATTTCTAGAGTAGAATTTTATTTATTTCATAAACTTTTTCATCAATAAATTAGTGATACTTATCAATAAATAAGTGGTAAATAGAGGTGCAAAAGAGATAGATAAGGGTGAAAGAGATTTGAAAGAGATATAGATTTGAAAGAATTAGAAATAGATTTAAAATAGATAAAAAGATAAATAGATTTAAAATAGAGATATAGATTTAAAATAGATAATGAGATGTGAGAGAGATACAGATATGAGAGCAAGATGGATGGATGGATGTCAAAAAGATACAGATCTTTGAAAGAGATCTAGATAGATAGATTCAAAGAGATAGATCAATACATAGATTTGAAAGAGAAATAGATAGATAAATTTGAAAAAGTGATAGATAGATAGATTTGAAACAGATATAGATAGATAAATAGATTTGAAATGAATAAAGAGATAATTAAATAGATTTAAATGGATAAAGAGATACGTGTGAAAGATATACAGATATGAAAGCGAGATGGATGAATGTCAAAAATACAGATGGTTGTGAAAGAAATTGATATAGATTTGAACGAGATATAGATAGATTTGAACGAGATATAGATAGATTTGAAAGAGATATAGATAGATGATGTGAAAGGGAGATAAATAAGAGTGAAAGAGATAATGATGGATTTAGGATAAAGAGATAAATAAATAGATTTGAAATAGATAAAAAAAAGATAGATTGAAAATAGAAATAAATGGATTTGAAATGGATTAAAGAGATAAATAGATTTAGAGATAGATGTGAGAGAGATACAGGTATGAAAGCAAAATGGATGGATGTCAAAAATACAGATGGTTGTGAAAGAAATTGATATAGATTTGAAAGAGATATAGATAGATTTGAAAGAGATATAGATTTGAAAGAGATAAATGTGAAATCGAGATCGATAGATGTGAAAGATATTAATTTGAGAGATAAATAACTGATACTTATCTCGTTTTGAAAAATAGATAAGAGATAGATTAGGTAGATGGATGTGAACGAGATAAAAATTTCAAACTTAGGTAAGTTTGAAAGATAGATAAATAAATTTGAAAGAGAGATAGATCGATAGATATGAAAGGGATACACATAAATAAAAAGAAAAATCTATATCAATAATAACCAATATTTCAGGTACCCCTTTACATATTTTAAATTCTATATCAATAAGCAACCCTTTAGGTAGCTCTTTAAATACTTTTATTTATCCCTCCAAGCATTTCTAGAGTAGAATTTTCTTTCATTAACTTTCTTCAATCAGTAAATTAAAGATACTTAACAGAAGTGGTAAATAAGGGTGCAAAAGAGAGGTAGATAAGGGTAAAATAGATTCGGGAGAGATAGAAATAGATTTGAAAAAGATAGAAATAAATAGATTTTGAAGAGATAGAAATGGATTTGAAAGAGATCGAAACACACAAATTTGAAAGTTATATAAAGATTTGAAACAGATATCGATAGATTTGAAAGAGAGATGTGAAAGATAACGATAGATTTGAAAGAGTTGGATGATAAGAGTGAAAGAAATCTATATAAATAGATTTGAAAGAGATGAAGAGTTAGATAGATTTGAAAGAAATGCGAAAGAGAAATTTATTTTACACAGTATAATGGTAATGGTAACACTCATGTCAATATTAATACAAATTCTATATAATTTAACAATTTCATAAGTATAGATATTTTTGCAATATAATAAATTTGTATAATTTTTTTTTTGGTCATTTTATGATGACTCTTTATTTGAACAAATTAATGAACATTAAATATGTGGGAGTAGTTATGATTATGATAATATATTTAATTAGAAACTCCCAACATAATAAAAAAATATAAATTTATTAACTATAAAAATATTTCGATATCAAAAATATACATGACATGTCCGATTGTTTTTTTACAAATAAAAACCAGCCTGCTTGATATCGCCACAAATATATAGTTGATGTGAAAGAGATAAATAGATTTGAAATAGGTAGTTTTGAAAGATAGATGAGATACGTAGATGGATGTGAATAAGATAAATTTGAAATATAGATTTGAAAGAGATATATCTAATAGATATGGAACACATAAAGACAAATAAGAGAAATAATTCTATATCAATACTGAGCAACCCTTCACGAGGTTTATTAAATATTTTTCTTCTGTCTGTCAAACATTTCTACAATTTTATTTATTTCATCAATATATTTGAATTTGATATATTTTTATCAATTTTATATTTTCACTTATTAGTATATATTAAGTGCAAAACAAAAAAGTTTAAAAATTAAATGAGGCTTAAATCTAGCTTTAAATCTTAATCTACATAAAAACATATATTAATAGATGAGACATAAATAAATATAAAAGACTTGAAGATAAAAAGGGACAGAGATAAAATAGCAAGATAAAAATTAATATTTAAAAGCTAAAAATAAAAGCAAATTTTTAAATTTGCTTGCCAGCAGAGTCCTTTTTTTTATAAATTTCTTATCGCTAATTTTCGGATTTAGTTATCAGTAATTTTTTTTTTCAAATTTGCTTATTCGTTTTTTTTTTTCAAACCAATAGTATCGAAATTTGCTAGTCAGTAGACTTCTTTTTCCAAACTAAAAATTTCGGCATTTTGCCAGTAGAGTTCTTTTTGTCTAAATAAATCATTCCCAAATTTTTTATAGTTAGTAGAGTTTTTTTTATCTAAATTTCTTTATTAATTTAAGAATACGCATTGTACATTTATACATTTTTGGAATGCCTCATCAGTAGAATTCTTTCTTTTTATTAAATTGTTGAATTTGCTCATCAGTAGACTTTTTCTTGAATTAACTTTATAGTAAAAATAGTAATTTAAAATAGTAAATTTAAAATAGTAATTTCTGAAATTGTTCATCTCTAGAGTTCTTTTTTTACAAATTGATAATTTCCAAATTTGCTCGTCAGTAGAGTTCCTTTTTTTAATTTTTTTCATCAATAATTTTTGAATTTGCTCGTCAGTAGAATTCTTTTTTTTTTTTTTTTGAAGAAATTTTATCAATAAATTCCGAATTTGCTCATCAGTAGAGTTTTTTTAAACTGTCATTCTTATTTTTTTTTTTATATTTTCCAGTAGAGTAATTGAATATAATAAATTTAAATATAAATTTGTCAGTTTTTATTTCTTGAGTTTAAATTTTTTTTCAAAATAAGTTTCTAAATGTATTTGTCAGTAGACTTCTTTTATGTTCTAAAAAATGAAAAATGAATACATATTAAAAACAAATTGAAAAAAAAATAGAATCAAATATGAAAGACATAGATATAAGGAGAAAGAAAAAGGTGGAGATAAAAATTAATACAAGAAATTAATTGATATAGGGAAAGACTATAATACAAAAAAATCAACAATAGGCAGTTGAGTTGCTAATTTTAGTTCCAGTTGTCCTTTCAAATGCTGACTTGGTGTCTCCTAGAGCCATTTCAGTTTCGCTTATGGACTATATCAAAATTTTGCACCCTATCCTAGAATGTGGTTCTGTAAAAATAACCATTGTTCTTGGAACGTGTAAAAACAACACAATTAACTTATTACTAACATTCTTTATAAAAATTAAGATTGCTTAAGTTGTACGCTGATATTTATCGCTATTTTTTTTCTTCCAGGGATCATCAAATTCATACGCCATTAAGAAGAAAGATGAGTTAGAAAGAGTAGCCAAGTCTAACCGATAAACATTTTTATATATATCTAAGCTGTTACCAGAAGGGGTTTACGATTGGTTTTGTATCTTTCTTTGGTGCAGTTAAATAAAAGCTAAAAATATACAATAGGGTTTTATTTTTTATAAAATAAGATTTAGAATAAGGCTACTTTTTCTTTCAGTGTTTGTTGTTGGATTAAAATTACAAATAAGTTTAAGCATTCAGGAATCAAGTACATGTTAAAGAAAAATGTGAAACAAAATAATGCGTGTGAAATATTTAATTCCTGATCTTCATGGTTTGAGCCTCGAAGGACAGCACACAATTGAAGTAAAAAATACTCCAAAAAATAGAGGTTCTTACAAAATTTGGGTAAAACGTTTTCATTTTATGAAATTGAATTGAAAACGATTCTAAATGCTCAAATTTTATGTGTATGAAATATATATATTTTTTTTCATTGACAATAAAATTTATTGCAGTTTTTTTTTAGTAACTACGAATAGTTTTAAATGATGTAATTTGAAATTAATGCGTTAGCACAATTAATACTAATTTTATTACATAATTAGTTTGTAATGCAATTTTTTTCTTAAAAATTTAGAACACTGGTTATAAGAGCATTTTCAATCATTCTTAAATTAAATGCATGAACATTGAATATATCAAATTTTAATATATATATTTTTTAATTTCAGATTAATATGTTTTTGTGTACAATGACTTAAAAGTAGGTCTTTCAAATATCGTACATAAGAGTTAATAATTATATGAAATTAATTTAGGGACTTAATCTTTTAAATGCGGTAAATGAAATTCAGATTATCTTAAATATTTAGGTAACAGGTGTTATCTTTAAATTAATGTTTATGATGTGTATTATATGCGAAAGTGTGTTAAGAAAATTAATTAAACTATTTTTATGTTTAACTTAGATTAAGAATGCAAATTACTAAACCAAGCGAATTGAAAATAAAATTTGATATATAATGTGGATTAAATAATTTTTCATGGAATATTTTATTTCAAGAGTTTATAATTTTTATACACATAATTACATACAATTTAGATAGCTTTCTAATAATATATAATAATGTTAATATATTTAATGAAATTGAAACAAAATAATTACAAATATAAATAAAGCCTTGAAGCTAAAACAATATGGGACTCTTAGTTAGGAAGATTTTAGTTGCAAATTTTAACTAATTATTTTTATATAATTTTGTTCCAAAGGTTACAAATTGTTATATACAGACTTATATATAATTTTATCTACTTTTTGAATGATATATAGTAACGTATACAAGTTTGAACAAATTATTTAAAAAATTGATAGAAATATAAACTAATGTAACCAGAAAAGCGGACGTTTTATCATCATCAGTACATATGTAGGAATATTTCTTTATATACAATTTTGTTTCAAATGATTTAACATATTATATACAGATTTTTAGATAATTTAATTAGCTTTCTAATGGTATATAATAATGTTAATAAATTTAATTAAATTTAAACAAAATAAATATAAATATAAACCAAAGCATTGAAGCTAAAACGATATGAGAGTCTTACAAAGATTTTAATTTCAAAGTTTAATTTATTATCTTTATATAATTTTGTTCCGACAGTTATCAATTGTTGTATACAAATTCATAGATAATTTTATAGACTGTTTAGCAAAATAATACTAAAATATCAAAATAAATAGGAATATATAAAATTTTTAACAAAATAATACTAAATGTAAAAAAACTGAACCAATGAAATCCATCAATGGATAATAAGTAGATACTAAATTTTAAACTTCGAATATTTCTCTAATTTAATTTTTGTCCACAAAGTTATTAAACGTTATATACGGATTGCCTTAAACCTTATAAATTGTTATATACAGATTTATAGATAATTTTATTAACAATGCATAATATATAATAGTATATTTGATAAATTATTACCATATATATATAACAATTTTCTTAACAAATTTGTATTTTAAAACCCAACTGTCGAAACGAATTATGTACATTTGCCCACCACTATTATCCTCGTTTACGATTGGTCAACACGAGGCGTAACGAACCGAACCGAGACATTTTAAAAACATCCTTATATAAATAAAATAAACTGTTTAATAACTTTTTGTGGTTATAAGTGTAATTAACTGTAGAAATGTGTTAATAATAAGTGTAAAGGAATAATAATATAAGTTATAGTGAATGAGATATTTGTTGAAGGATTTACAACATTTTGACAGTTTGATGAATCCTTGATTTGAACTCAACAAAATGTTACAAAATTACAATTTAATTTAATAATGGTGATTTAAACAATATGTGGTTGAAAAAGGTGGGTACATAAATACTACAATATACTTATTAAATGCAATAACTTCTTATCTACCAAACAAATCCTGTTTAAACACTTTTATTTCTTTTATAACCTAACATATTTCTCTTGCAATGCAATAAAATAATTAGCCTAGATAAACATCAGTATTTTTTTGCCAAACTATATCTCAAATAACAATTCTTTTGCATTCTTTACAAAGCTTTATAACCAGACATATCGTAGAAGCAAAATGTTAAAACTAATTGTGTTTTTTATATTTTTAAGTGGATTTGTTAATGGACAGATTTTACCACCCGAGCAATGGTTCGAACAGAAGTTGGATCATTTTAACACGATTGAAAATGGGACGTGGAAACAGGTAATAATAGATAATTGAATTATAGCAGATAATAAACGTATTTTTTTATTTTCTAATGTAGAAGAAAAAACATACTAAATATTGTGATATTTATAAATTAATAATTGTGATTGTTTAACCAAAATATAAAATTAATTTTTTTACTTTTCAATGATTTTTAATTAATAATATAATTGTAGGATATTTTTATAGATTGTAAATTTAAAGGAGATAATTATAGTTTTTAGTATTAATATAGAATTATACAGCAATTCAATATATTTAAAATTGATCATAAATTTTCCTATTTATTTTTCTTTTGTAGAGATATTTTACGAATGACCAGTTCTACAAACCAGGAGGTCCAGTTTTTCTGATGATCGGTGGAGAAGTACCCATTACCAATAAATGGATGGTCGAAGGACAATGGATTGAGTATGCAAAACAGTTTAACGCTTTATGCTTTCAATTGGAACATCGATATTATGGAAAGAGTCATCCTACAAGGTAAATAAGATATTTTATCATAATATGCATTAAATACTTTATACATAATAAGTATTATTTTATTTTTCAGTGATCTCGGTACCAAAAATCTTATATATCTGAACAGCGAACAAGCCTTGGCTGATTTAGCATCCTTTATTCAGGCCATGAACGAGAAATGTGGATTTTCAGGCGCACCAAAGTAAGTATTAAATATATATTTGAAGAAAAGAATATATTGTAAATATTATTATTGTTACAAAGGTGGATTGTTTTTGGATGCTCTTATGCGGGAACTTTAGCTGCTTGGGTTCGAGAAAAATATCCACATCTGGTACATGGGGCTGTTTCTTCAAGTGCACCTTTGCTGGCTGCTGTCGATTTCAAAGGTAATCTTCTATATATATAAAAATAAGTCGGGTTTTCCTTCCTGACGAAATAACTCCAGAACGCACGAACCGATTTCGACAATTTTGCATTCGTTGGAAATGTCTCGGGCTCCGCAAGGTTTATAGCTAAGAAAATTAGTGGAACTTCATGCATCGTAATTAAAAATTCGAGTAATGACATTAGTGAGAATTATCAGAATTATGCTTGGTTAAGTCAACGAGCTCAATTCTTGCCGCAAAGAATAATGATGTACACGCACTGAATTTCACCATTCAATAAAAAATTGCTGGCGATTCGGTGACATACCAATGATTCCGACTGGTCTTCCGTTTGACTTCAAACGATTGCAATTTCCAGTTCGCCTTGCGTTCGCAATAGCAAGTCTCAAGGCCAATCGCTTAGTGTTTGCGGGATAAATTTCAAATAGATTATTTAGAAAATCATTGTTTTTCACATAAGCAGTTATACGTTGCCTGTTTACGAGTTGGGAAACCATCCGCTTTGTTTGTTTAACGTCAGACCAAAAAACAAAAAATGTGGTTTACCAAAGAGCACTTCAATAAAACGGATAATTTGCGGATTCACTTTCATTTACTTAGAGAAGTTCAACTAAAGAACACTTCATTTTTGTAATCGCAATAAATTCGTTACTGTTGTATAATAAAATCAAATTTTTCCTTTTCAAATATAAAACAAACAAATAATTTCTTCATCTTTCTAACGAAACCATCTGGTGGCGAAACAGAGTTCGTCGGGTTTGCTAGTATATATATTTACATATACAGGGCCGGTCCTGCCTTGCATGCGATGCATGCAAAAAATGCGGGCGCACGCCTTAGGGGGCGCCAAAACGAGTTTCGGAAATTAAATTTTTAATATAATATCTATAGTTTTTTATAGAAAATCTGGAATCTAGAATTTATATAAAATCTAGAATACTTACTAAATTATAATAAACAGCCTAACTTAACTAGGGATACGGAGACAAAAAGCATATTTATTTTGTTGCAATGTGATATCAGTAGGAACAATTAACCGATTAATAACTATGCAAATTAGTAAATAACAGCTCTGTTTATGGCTTAATCTACTTATTCATTTTTTTTTTGAAGTTACGGTGGAATCGAAAAAGAAATTATCTAGTGTTCAATTCCATAAGCACAAACCTGCAAAACATGCGTGGTTAGGGTTATGGAAATGGAACAAATATGAAAAAATGGAAGCAAAATTTACTTTGGAAGGAAAATCTTAAGGCTTTTTTTATACCTAGTGGTGTCCATACTCTAAATTTAATAATTATCAACTATGCAGAATTATTACATTATTATTCAAATATAACAAGTTTTATATATTTCAAGAAATGTGTAATTTCTTTGCATTTTTTACTGATTTTTGGACAATACTTCTAAAATATGTTGAACTTTAGAACAACAAACTGATACTATGGATATGACGAGAAAGCAAGGATGAATACAATTCGGCGAAATTTTGGATATTGTAAATGATAAAAACTTAAATTAAATTCAAATTTTAAAAATTCAACATGAAATACGAGTGCTATGATTGAAAATGAAAAGCTAGTTTTTTTTTAACTCTCTTGGCATGATTTGCTCAATAGAATAAATCGCATAATAAATAAGAAAATGTTTTAAAACCCAAACATTAATATTTCACTTACGTTAAAAATAATTGAAAATTTAAAAATATTTAATTACACTAAACCCGCGAATCGCTTCGAGTTTCTAAATAAAGTTAAAATCAATATATTTTATACGCTTTTAAATTATATCTAATTTTTTATGTACCTACTAAATCCAGAATAATTAAAAATTAATTTTTAGAAAATATGTAAATATTTATATAATTTTAATGATAAACTGTTAGAACAGTTAAAATTAATAGGGGGGGGGGGCGCTAGAAAAAAAGTTGCATGCGGGCGCTAAGGACCCCAAATATATATATATATATATATATATATAAATAAAATTAGTAAATTACAATTAACTTTTATATTTTAGAATTTTATGTGGTAGTAAAAGATTCCCTAGCTACTCACAGTGATAAATGCGTGGAGGCTGTCAAGAATGGAACGAAACAATTGGAGATTTCAATGAAACACATGATCGGGATGAGATCTCTGGATGAAAAATTCAGGTGCGAATAACAAACTTCATCATCAGTATAAAACTATGTGTTTTATTTATCATTTGTTTGTATTTATTATTATTTGTATTTTAGACTGTGTGACCCGATAGAGAGTAATGTGGACAACTCTTTAGACATTAGTAATTTATTTGAAATGTTAGCAAATAATTTTGGTGATATTGTTCAATATAATAAAAATAATAGAATGAGTAAAGATGGTACTTCTAATATTACTATTGATACGGTAAGATAATCATATAAGTATATATTGTATGCATAAAATATTGATCTTACTTTACTAATTGAAATCAGATTTTGATTAAATATAGATAGATAGATTGAATAGAAATTAAATGATTAATTAATTAAACGATTCACTTTTTATCTTTATATAATACAACTACTTATTCAATTGCTTTATTAAGGGGGTATTCTACTGTAGAATTTTGAAAAAATTGAAAAATTTTTTTTTTCATATTTTCAAAGTTTAGTTATTCAAAAATATGTCATTGAAAGGATTTTTCAAAATTATTATTATTTCCTGAGTTATAGCCGTTTTAGTGACGTGGCCTCGGTTCGGGTCCGACTTGTCTCAAAACTTTGAACGCGTTTTTCTCGGAACTACTTTTTTCGAGCTGGCGGTAAGGATATCTCGAGTTCTAATGAACTGATTTACTTCAAATTTGGAGAGGATCTTCTCTATACACCGGTTTATCGTATGGACCTTGCCCAAAACTATAACTTTTCATTTAGTATTTTTAAAAAATTCAGAATTGTAGAAAAAACATGAAAAAAACTAATTTTTTTTTCAAACTGCTGCCATTCAAACAAAAAATTTTTTTTTAACTTATTCAAGGTTCATACGATAGCGGCATCTATTATAGTTAAGAATCCATATATTTTTTATGTTTCAAATCACCAGGAGGGTTAGAATCATGTACGCCAGGACACCCTCTTTTTTTGGGAACCCCCACTTTGACTGCTCATAACTTTGTGAATTTTAATTATTTTTTTTAAATAATTTTTTTATGTAATAATAAAATATCAATAAACAAATGATAAAAAAATCGATAATAAATATATTATTTGTTTCCTTTATACAGCGCTTCAAAAACCGGGCGAAATTCATGGCTCTACAGTAGAATACTCCCTTAAATATACATGTTTACATTTTTAATATAAAATATAATATAAATATTTAAATATGTACTCAAATATTAATCCATCTTTTATCTTTTATGTTTTTTACTGAAGACATTTTTTAATTCATTTATTTTTAGCTTTGTGACATCATGGTGAACGAAGCCATTGGAACACTTTTGGATCGCCTTGCAGAAGTTAATTCTTTAATATTAAATGCCACCGATGAGAAATGTTTGGATTACAAATACGATAATATGATTAATAAGTTGAGGAATACATCTTGGGACAGTGAAATGGATGAAGGAGGTAGTAATATAATATATAAATATAATTAATATATTGCAATAAAATTTCAAATGTAACGAAAATAATTTACAAAGCCATCTTCCCAAACTTTAGTGTACTTTTTAAAGTTATATGAAACTTGGCTCGAAGACATTCTTTTTAATATATAAAATTAAGCTATTATTAAATATATATAAGCTATTATTATATATAGAAGTATTTATACTATGATATTTTATTTTATTATTAGGTCGACAATGGATGTACCAAACATGCACACAATTTGGTTTCTTTCAAACAAGTTCACAAAGCGATAAGAATAATATATTTGGAAAACATTTTCCTGTTGACTTCTTTATCCAAAAGTGCAAAGATATTTTTGGATTGAGGTAAATATCGCTTTTGATACCAAATTATAGGAATATAAGTTTAAATTTAATATTTATTATAATACATTTCTTAAAGACAACTAGTTTTATGTCGCGAAAATAAAACATAAAAGTTACAATTATTATCAATCTTTATATAATTTTGTTAGAAACTTTATAAATTGTTATATACAGATTTATAGGTAAGTATATTACATTTTTAGTAATGTATAATATTATTGTTATATTTTAAATATTTATAATAAAAGAAACGTTTATATAAAAACATGCAACCGGTGAAACGTCATTTTGATTTTAAAGTTTAAACATTTTTGAACATAATTTTGTTTCAAGAATAATACATTGTTATATACAGATTTATAGATAATTAATTAAGCTTTCTAATGATATATAATAAGATATATAGATTATATAAAATAACTAAACTACAAAGATAAGTATAAAAAGTGTCTTTAAAATTTACTTCAATCACTTTTCATCAATTAAGCTTTTATAAGTACTTTGATATTTATGTCTATTTTTTTTACATTAGATACTCAATGGACAATCTAGAGAAAGCAGTGGAGCGTACAAATATAATATACGGAGCCCTAAATATTCCGACGACTAGAATTGTATTCGTGCATGGTTCCATCGATCCTTGGCATGCACTCGGAATCACAAAGTCGATGAGGAAGGAAAGTCCTGCTGTTTATATCAAAGGTAATATTTATTCAGCAATATAAAATAAAAATTGCAGTGGTAAACTACATTCATACTTTTGGACATATTGTACTAATATATCATATACAGTAAGCTACAAATTGAAAGAAAATTATAATTAAAATTACTAAACAGCAAAGGAATAAAACACATAGGTGGTTAGAACTAAGAAAATATAATGATGGCACACATACGGTGTCGAAACGTACATAATGAATAGCTTAATAACTTATGGTTTTATATTTCAAACAAACAAATCTAAAGTAATTTAATTTTTACATTAGGTACTGCACATTGTGCAAATGTGTACCCAGCAAGGGACTCTGATTTGCCTCAATTGAAACAAGCGAGACAGTTTGTAGGGCAGTTGATCAAAAAGTGGTTAAACAATAATGATTCATAGGTTAGATAATTTAATTAGCTTTCTAGTGATATATAATCATGTTAATATATTTAATTAAATTTTAACAAAATAAATATAAATATAAATCAAAAACCTTGAAGCTAAGATAATGTAGGCGCCTGGCGCCAAAGTTTAACGAAATATTTTTATATAATTTTGTTCCAACAGTTACATATTGTTATATACAGTTTTTTGGGTAATTTTATTAGCTTTCTAATGATATATAATAATATATACATGTGAAAACAAATTATTAGTTAGCAGACATATTAGTTTACCAAAAATGACGTCAGTGTTTGATAATAATGATTAAACATTTTTTTAACTTAATTTCGTTCGAAACGATATATACTGATTTATAGATAATTTAAACAGCTTTTCTAATGATATATGATAATATTAATATATTTAAATTAATTTAAACAAATTAAATATAAATATAAACCAAAGCGTTTACACAAAAACGATATCGACGCCTTAGGTAGATTGAAATTGCAATGTTTAATGATTTTTTTCTATATAATTTTGTTCCAACAGTTACACATTGTGATATTTTGATTTATAGATAATTTCATTATATAACAATGTATAAATGTTTGAACAAATTATTTGAAAAATTTATAAAAATATAAACTAATGTAACAAGGAAAGCAGACATCTTATCACTAGTACATACATAGGAATATATTTGATCAAGTTTTTAAATATATTTTTGTTTCAAATTATTTAAGACTTTATATACAGATTTTTAGGTAATTTAGTTAGCTTTCTAATAATATATAATAATGTTAACATATTTAAATAAATTTAAACAAAATAAATATAAATATAAACCCAAAGCGTTGAAGCAAAAACAATATGGACACCTTAGAAAGATTGTAATTGCAAAGTTTAATGATTTTTTTATATATAATTTTGTTTCAACAGTTACATATTGTTATATACTGATTTATATATAATTTTATTAGCTTTCTAATGATATATAACAATGTATACATTTTTGAACAAATTATTTAAAATATTTCTAAAAATATAAACAAATCTAACAAGAAAAGCAGACATCTTATCACTGGTACATACATAGGAATATATTTAATCAAGTTTTTAAATATAATTTTGTTTCAAATGATTTAACATGTTATATACAGATTTTTAGATAATTTAATTAGCTTTCTAATGATATATAATAATGTAAATATATTTAAATAAATTTAAACAAAATAAATATAAATATAAACCAAAGTGTTGAAACTAAAACAATATTGAAGTGTTAGGAAGATTTTAATTGCAAACTTTAACTAAATATTTTTATATAATTTTGTTTCAAAGGTTACATATTGTTATATGCAGTTTTTTAGATAATTTCATAAGCTTTTTAATGATATATAACAATTTGTACATGTTTAAACAAATTGTTTTAAAAAATGTATAAAAATATAAACTAGTGTAACAAGAAAAGCAGACATCTTATCATTAGTACATATATAAGAATATTTATTTATTTATTTATTTATTTTATCAACTCCCAAGGCAATAATACAATATAATTACATTTTAAAGTGCACAAATTACAAACTAAAGACAATATGTGAGAAAATTTGAGTATTAAGAGTTTATAGATAGCTTCATAACATTTAATATAAACTACAAATATATAACATTAAATAAAAACTAATAAAATTAAACATTTAATAAACTCAATAATATATGTAAACAACTTTTTTAATATATTTCAGTTCCAAATGACTTAAGTTGTTATATACAGATTTGTAGATAATTTTATTAGCTTTAAAATGATATATAATAATGTTAATATATTTAATTAAATTTAAACAAAATAAATATAAATATAAACCAAAGTAAAGTTGAAGCTGAAACAATATGGAAGTGTTAGGAAGATTTTAATTACAAATTTTAACTAATTATTTTTATATAATTTTGTTCCAAAGGTTACAAATTGTTATATACAGATTTAAAGATAATTTTATCTAGTTTACAACTATATATCATAATATGTAAGAATATAAAAAAAGCGTAAAGAAAATAATGCTAGATATAAAAAAATGTATACAACATTGAAATCCACCAATAAAATAATAATTCAATACTAAATATTAAGTTTCACACATTTTTCTTAATAAATTTAGCTTGAAAAGTTATTAAACATTATATACAGATTTTTAGATATTTTTTTTAGCTTTTTAACCACATATAATACTATTGTTATATTTTAAATATTTATAACATTAGAATTTTTAACAAAATAAACGCAGATGTAATAAAACGCAACATGAAACTAACCTATATAGACAGCCATTGTAATGACAAAATATAAGAGCAATTTTTACAAAATGTTGTTCCAAATGTAATGAATAACTATATACAAATTCATGAACAATTTTATAAGCTTTTTAATGATATATAATAATATATACATGTTTGAACAAATTATTTAACAAATCAATAAAATTACAAAAAAATGGGGCAAGAAAACTCGATATATAAGTTACAATTCTAATATTTTTTTCACAATAATTTTGTTTCAAACTTAAAAAATTGTTATACACAGATTAATAGATAACTTAATTAGCTTTCTTATTATATATAACAATATTAATATGTTGGAACAAATTTAAACAATATAAACGTAAATATAAAAAAATGTAACCGAATAGAAAATCAACTCCTTGTAACTACATGGAACTAAATGTACCTTTTCAAAGTTTAAACATTTTTTTAAATAAAATTTTGTTAGGAACTTTATAAATTGTTATATACAGATTTATTAGCTTTTTAATGATATATAATAAAATATACATCTTTAAACAAATTATTTAATAAAACTATAAAAAATGTAACAAAAAACCTGACATTAGTTTTGAATACATCCAAATAACTTGGTATTCAATTTTATTAATATTTTTTAATATAATTTTGTTCCAAAGGATATAAATTGTTATATACAGATTTATAGGTAATTTTATTAGCTTTCTAACAATATATAATACTATTGTTATATTTTAAATATTTTTAACAAAATGCACTTTGATATAAAAAAGTGCAACATGAAATTAATGTCATCAATAGACACACCATTTCAATTTCAAATTTTAAACAATTTTTTTAAATAATTTTGTTCCAAACTTAATAAATTGTTACATACAGATTTATAGATTTTATTAGCTTTTTAATGATATATAATAATATATACATGTTTAAACAAATTATTTAATAAAACTATAAAAAATGTAACCAAAAAACGTGACATTTGTTTTTGAGAGATCTAAATGACTTGGTATTCAATTTTATTAATTTTTTAATATAATTTTGTTCCAAACGTTATAAATTTTTATATACAGATTTGTAGATAATTTTATTAGCTTTTTAAAAATACATAACATGATTTATATATTTTAAATATTTTGAGCAAAATTGATATAAAAAAGTGCAACATGAAATTAATGTCACCAATAGATACACCATTTTGATTTCAAAGTTTAAACTTTTTTTTTAAATGATTTTGTTTGAAACCTTATGAATTGTTATATACAGATTTATAATTAATTTTATTAGCTTTCTGATAATATATAATAAAATATACACGTTTGAACAAATCATTTAAAATATCAATAAAACTTAAAAAAAATGTACCCAGAAAACGTGACATTATTTTTATATAAAATCAAATGACTCGGTATTCAATTTCATTAATTGTTTTTAATATAATTTTGTTCCAAAGGATTTAAATTCTTATATACAGATTTATAGATAATTTTATTAGCTTTCTAATGATATATAATAATTCATATATGTTCAAACAAATTATTCAGAAAATTGATAGAAATACACATACTAGAACCACTGTAATAACAAGGTACTAAATTTTAAATTTTACAAATTTTTCTTACTAAATTTTGTTTGAAAAGTTATTAAAGATTGTATACAGATTTATAGATTTTATTAGCTTTTTAATAATATATAATAAAATATACATATTTAAATAAAAAAATATTGCTCATCAAAATTAAAAAATAAAACCATAAAACGTGACATTAGTTTTCTATATATCCAAATGACTTGGTATTCAAAGTTATTAATTGTTTTTAATATAATTTTGTTCCAAATGATTCAAATTGTTATATACAGATTTATATAACTGCTAATAAAATATATAACTTTTTAAGCTTTTCAACAATATATAATACTATTGTTCTAAATATTTATAACAAAATACACGTTGATATAAAAAAGTGCAACCTGAAACTAATGTTACCAAGAGTCACACCATTTTGATTTCAAAGTTTAATCAATTTTTTTTAAATAATTTTGTTAAAAATGTTATGAGTTGTTATATACAGATTTATAGATAATTTTATTATATAAATATATATAATGATATGTAATAAAATATACATGTTTAAACAAATTATTTAACAAATTGGTCAAAAATATAGAAAAATGTAACTAGAAAACTTGACATGTTAGTACACAAAAATGACAGTATTAAAAATTAAAATTTAGTCAATTTTTTAAATAATATTTTGTTCCGAAGGTTTTATACTGTTATATACAGATTTATGAATAATTTTGTTAGCTTTCTAATAACATATAATAAAATATATACGTTTAAACAAATTATTTAAAAAAACAATAAAACTATAAAAAAGGTAACCAGAAAACCTGACATTATTAATTTTCGATAAATACAAATGACTGTTATATACAGATTTGTAAACAATTTTATAGACTTTTTAACAATATATAATAATATATATTTTGTTGAAACAATTTAATAGATAAATATAAAAAAATACAAATTTGTATAAAACAAATGCATAATATTTAAATTTAGTACATATATAACAATATATATATATTATATAATTTTTTATAAAACTATATATTATGTATAAAAATACCTCAAACCTTATCAAAATATATAATAATATATATGATAAATAATTAACATATATATATATATATATATATATATATACATATATATATATATATATATATATATATATATATATATATATATATATATATAATAATTTTCTTAACAAATTTGTATTTTAAAACCCAACTGTCGAAACGAATTATGTACATTTGCCCACCACTATTATCCTCGTTTACGATTGGTCAACACAATGCGTAAACAACCGAACACGAACGAACATGCTCGATAAGGACCCGGCTTTAAGGAGACATATTTAAAACATCTTTATATAGATAAAATAAACTTTTAATAACTTTGTGTCGTTATAAGTGTAATTAATTGAAGAAATGTGTTAATAATAAGTGTAAAGGAATAATAATATAAGTTATAGTGAATGAGATATTTGTTGAAGGATTTACAACATTTTGACAGTTTGGTGAATCCTTGATTTGAACTCAACAAAAATGTTATAAAATCACAATTTTGTGTAATAATGCTGATTTAAACAATATGTGGTTGAAAAAAGTGTATACATAAACACCCCAATACAAGAACTACTGTGCAAAAATTCGTCAACCCAACAAATCTATTTTTTTTCTACCATAACCTCAAATTGTCTTCACCAACACAATCAAAACAATATCTCACAAAGACTCCAATGTCAACTGATAACATTTGCAGATAAATAAACATAAACATCAGCATATTCTGTACTTTTAGAATATCCATTACTCATCTCAAATAACATCAAACGTATTTCCTTTCAATCTAAAAAGAACACTCGAAGAAGGCACATGTAAAAATGTTGAAACTAATTGTGTTTTTTGTATTTTTAAGTGGATTTGTTAATGGACTCAGGTGGAATGTTTTCAAAGCTGGAGGCAGTTTGGGGAGCCCCCATTTGAGGAGACATCATAAACATTTGCCACCCGAGCAATGGTTCGAACAGAATTTGGATCATTTTAATCCGATTGAGAATGGGACGTGGAAACAGGTAATAATAATAGATAATTAAATAAAAATGAATATTAAATGTATTTCTGTACTTTTTAATGAACAAGAAAAAACATAGTAAAAATTGTGATACTTGTAAATCAATAATTGTGATAGTTTTACAAAAATATAGGAGGATTATTTTTACTTTTTAATGATTATAAATTAATAACAAGATTGTAGGACATTTTTATAGATTGTGAATTTAAAAGAAATATGTATAGATTTTTTATCAATAAAAAATTCTACAGCAACTCAATATATTTATAAATCTAATACTTGAATTTGTTCTATTTTATTTTTTATTTTTGTAGAGATATTTTACAAACGACCAGTTCTACAAACCAGGAGGTCCAGTTTTCCTGATGATCGGTGGAGAAGGACCCATTACCAATAAATGGATGGTCGAAGGACAATGGATCGAATATGCAAAACAATTTAATGCCTTATGCTTTCAATTAGAGCATCGATATTATGGAAAAAGCCATCCTACAAGGTAAATAATAAATAAAAGAAGAAAGCAATAAATAATATTAGTCTAATGTAAGACTGTAATATTTTTTGGTTTTAATGAGCAGTACATAAATAAATAAATAAATAAATATTTTTCTTTAAGAAAATATTACTTTTCGATTATGTTATGAAATAGATAAAGAAAATAAGCGCATACTTGAATTTTTGGGGTAAAAACAGTAATATCACAAAAGCAAATAATTAAAATGTATTTAATTAAATAAAATTGCAATTACTTTAATAATTTGTACAAAAGATTCTAGTTATCATTCAAAAATATGTACTAATCAAACCCGATTGTAAATTTTCAAAATTTTGTACATATAGGTTAGTACTTGCTTTGTTTTTTTTCTCGCCGCCCTTAAATTTTTCACATGCACTTGTCTATTTTAACTTATATGTATGTTTCACTTTATTTTAGTGACCTCGGTACAAAAAATCTTATATATCTGAATAGTGAGCAAGCTTTAGCTGATTTAGCGTTCTTCATTCAGACCATGAATGAAAAATATGGATTTTCAGATGTACCTAAGTAAGTATAATAGAGAATAATCTCATTTTTGATTTCTCTGACTGCTGTGGAATTTATTCATGCCGATACATTTTGCTAATATTTTATTATATTTTAAGCAAATGTTCTAGAATCTCTTCCACAAGGATTTAAGCTAAATTAAAAATTAATAAAATAAAATACCAAAACAGTTATGTCGAGTTTTAAACAACTTTAAAGGAAAATACATCCGGACCTGAGTGTCTAATATAATATAAAAGTTAAATAATATATAGATTACCATAATAAAAGCTCAATTTTTGTGTAATTAGTTGAAATTAATATTTTTGAAAATAGAATTAGAATCAACATTTTTACAAATTGTAATATATATTCTAATTTTTATTATTATAAAGGTGGATTGTTTTTGGAGGATCTTATCCGGGTTCTTTGGCTGCTTGGGTTCGGGAAAAGTATCCCCATTTGGTACATGGGGCTGTTTCTTCGAGTGCTCCTTTATTGGCTGCTGTCGATTTCAGAGGTAAAAATAATAAATTATATATATATATATACATATATATATATTCAGATTTTAAAAAATAAGGTTGATGCTGAAACAATATAAGCGTCTTACAAAATAATCAATTTCAAGTTCAAGTTGAATACAAAGTTGTTCAACTTTCACCAATTTTGTTTTTATATAATTTTGTTCTAATAGTTTTATGTCTTTAACAATATATAAAAATGTGTTTATATTTAAATAATATCTCCCTTCTGCCTTTTTGTATTATAAACCAAGAGCAAAAAAGCGGGAGGGAGATATTTGACAACCTAATTCATTGAAAATTTAAATGTCCTTAGTACTGAATTTCTAAAACTCAAACAATATTTATTAAAAATGATTTATAATACTATTTAAACAAGTTTAACTAAATTTAGCCAGATCACATCAAATTCTGATTTAATTTTAATAATATTTTAATCATACATTTGCCATAATTTTTAGCAATTTGTTTAAATAAAAGTTTATTCTGAAAATTTTATATTGTTGTATATGGATTTGTATACAATTAATTTAATAGTTTGAATCTGCATTTGTATTCAACACATTTAAATCTTAAATGTTATTAATAATATAATTATCAGTATACAATTTTAAGATATGTGTATTCAAAGTTTAATTATTTTTTCCTAAATAATTTTGTTCTAAGACATTTAAAGTTTTATATACACAATTACAGATAATTTCTAATTCTAATGGTATATAATAATTCAAATTTATATAATTAAATTCAAACAAAATAAATATAAATATAAACCAAAACAAAGTTTAAACAACGGGACTTTATGAAGATTTTAATTGCATGATTTTTTTCAAATATAATTTTGTTCTAAAAATTATAAATTGTTGCATACAGATTTATAGGTAATTTTATAGACTTTCACACAAGGTGTTATAATAAACAAGAATAAAGATGAATCTTATTAAAATAATGCTAAATATAAAAAAATGTAACCAATGGCTAATAACTAGATACTAAAATTAAAACTTTACATATTTTTAACTTCCCGTAGGGTAAGTTATAGTAATCGCAAAAAAATCGAAAATTAAAATTTTTATATATCTTTACGTTTCAGAGGTTTCTGAACATTTTGGCATACCTTAGAAAAAATGGATGTATGTGTGTGTGTGTGTGTGCGTGTGTGTGTGTGTGTGTGTGTATGTATGTATGTATGTACGTGTGTGTATGTATGTGCGGATACAAATTTTCGTCGACGATTTCGGGAACACGGATCAACCGATTTGAATAATTCAAAAAACATTCGATTCGTATTGATAAGGAGACGTGCTGATTAGTTTTTGGCGAAGGCAGGTCCAGCCGTTCCAAAGATACGGGGCAAAAAGTGCCGAAAACGGTAAGTCAGTTTTTAAGAGAACGGAGCGTCCGATTTTAATAATTCAAAAAACATTTGACTTGTATTGAGAAGATGAAGAATTGATCAAATTTTCATGAGGGCAGGTCTAGCGGTTTCGGAGATCTAACAAAAAAAGTAAAAAAAAATGCCATTTGGCGGTCAAAAATGATCATTAGACATATGCACATCAAATCATCAGATATTTTATAGAGATTTTAACAATAAGTATAAATTTTGTTTGCATTCCTATGGGCTCCGTACCAATGTTTATTCGTTAGACGGCGACGCGCCGCTTACGCGCTTTGACATTTTGTCTCTATGCAGTTAAAGCAGTACGATTGCTTTGAAAAAAGATCTTCCAAAATATGCCAAAATAAAGAAGAAAACATTATTTTTTCCAAAAAAAATTAAAAAAAAAAAAAAAAAATTAGATTTTTTTTGAAAAAATTTTTTTTCAAAAAAAAGTAATTTTTTGTTTAATTTATAGTTTCTCAAAAATCTTATTTTTTCGAAGTAAATTTGTTTTAAAAATGTCAATCGTTTTTAAAAAAATAATAATTTTTGGTACGGGAAGTTCCTGCAATTTGCCGTAAGGCACGATGCCTTAATTGCCTTAAGACAGAATTCCACTTACAGCTAGTTTCTATTTAATTTTGTTAGCAAACTTAATATACGTTATATACAGATTAGTAGACAATTTTATTAGCTTTCTAACAATATATAACACTCTTGTTATATTTTAATTATTTATAACAAAATAAACGCGGATATAAAAAAAACGCAACATGAAATTAATGCTAACAAGAAACACACTATTTAGATTTCAAAGTTACAACATTTTTTTAAATAAAATTTTGTTAGGAACTTTATGAATTGTTATATACAGATTTATAGGTAATTTTATTAGCTTTTTAATGATATGTAATAAAATATACACGTTTAAACAAATTATTTAAAATATCAATGAAAGTATAGAAAAATGTAACCAGATAATGTGACATTAGTTTTTGATAGATGACTCAGGACACAGTATTTAATTTCATTCATTTTTTTTAATATAATTTTGTTCCAACGGATTTAAATTGTTATATACAGAATTATAGACAATTTTATTAGCTTTCTAACAATATATAATACTATTAGCATATTTCAAATATTTATAACAAAATCCACGTTGATATAAAAAAGTGCAAAATGAAACTAATGTTACCAAGAAACTCACCATTTTGATTTCAAAGCTTAAACATTTTTTTTATTAAAATTTTGTTAAAAACGTTATGAATTGTTATATACAGATTTGTAGATAATTTTATTAGCTTTTTAATGATATGTAATAAAATATACACGTTTGAACAAATTATTTAAAAGATCAATGAAAGTATAAAAAATGTAACCAGATATTGTGACGTCAGTTTTTTATAGATGACTCAGGACACAGTGTTCAATTTCATTAATTTTTTGTAATATAATTTTGTTCCAATGGATTTAAATTGTTATATACAGATTTATAGACAATTTTATTAGCTTTATAACAATATATAACACTATTGTTATATTTTAACATTTTTATAACAAAATGCACGTTGATATAAAAAAAGTGCAAAATGAAACTAATGTTACCAATTGACACACCATTTAGAGTTCAAAGTTTAAACATTTTTCAAATATAATTTTGTTAGAAACTTTCTAAATTGTTATATACAGATTTATAGATAATTTGATAAGCTTTCTAACAATATATAATACTATTAGCATATTTCAAATATTTGTAATAAAATAAATGAGGATATAAAAAAAACTCCTGTGGATAAAACTGCTGTTGTAGAATGTTATAAAATGGGAATCGAATTAGTATTTTTTTTTTTTTTAGAATACTTTATGGTAGTAAAAGATGCCCTAGCCACTCACAGTGATAAATGTGTGGAGGCTGTCAAAAATGGAACGAAACAATTGGAGATTTTAATGAAACACATGATAGGAATGAGATCTTTGGACGAAAAATTCAGGTACAAATATAAACCTCAACATAAAATAATTTAAGAAGTCAATATATAGATAATAGATTAAATATATTAATATAAAATTATGAAAGGACTCTACTGACAAGCAAATTGAATTTAAAATTAAAACAAAAAGGCATAATAAATTCATATAAAATTCTTTTGTCAGTAAGGTTGGGTTCATAAAAAACTCTCTCATTAGTGAGGTTAATGATTTATATTTATTTATATATACTAAAATATTTCATTAATTATTAGTATATTAATATTATTAATTTAATTAGCTTTCTAATGATACATGATAATAGTAATATATTTAATCAAATTATAAGAAAATAAATAAAAACTCAAATGAAAGTGATGAAACTAAAACAATATCGACGCCTTAGGAAGATTAGTAATTGCAAAGTTTAATGATTTTTTTTTATATAATTTGTTCCAACAGTTACAAATTGTTATATACAGATTTATAGATAATTTTATTAAGTTTTAAATGATATATTACAATATATAAGAATAAACACGAATTTGAACAGAATTATGCTAAATATAAATAATGTAACCAATGACTAGATACTAAACATTAAACTTTGCAAACTTTTCTTTTTAAATTTTGTCTAAAAAGTTGTTAAACGTTATATACAGCTTTGTAGACAATTTTATTAGCTTTTCAACAATATATAATATTATCATTATATTTTATCTTTTGTTTAATAAAATTTTGTTAGAAACGTTATGAATCGTTATATACAGATTTATAGATAATTCCATTAGTATTATAGTGACATATAATAAAATATACATGTTTAAACAAATTATTTAACAAATTGGTCAAAATAAAGAAAAATTTAACCAGAAACTTGACATGTTAGTTCACAAAAGAGACAGTATTAAAAATTAAAATTTAGACAATTTTTTAAATAATATTTTGTTCCAAAGGTTTTATACTATTATATACAGATTTATAGATAGTTTTGTTAGCTTTATAATGATATATAATAAAAAATACACGTTTAAACAAATTATTTAAAAAACTATACAAATATGTAACCAAAAAACGTGACATTAGTTTTTGATTGATAACTCAGGACCCAGTATTCAATTTCATTATTTTTTTTAAATATAATTTTGTTCCAAACGATTTAAATTGTTATATGCAGATCTACAGACAATTTTATTAGCTTTCTAATGATATATAATAAAATATACACGTTTAAACAAATTATTTAAAAAACTAATAAAACTATACAAATATGTAACCAGAAAACGTGACATTGGTTTTCGATAGATCCAAATGACTTGGTATTATAATAATTATTTCATTAATTATTATTATATTAATATTATTCATTTTTTTATTTTTTCTTAGTAATTTATATTAATATTGTTCAATTAAGTAATATATTTATATATAAATTCTCTCGTCAGTAAGGTTGGGTTCATATAAAACTATCTTGTCAGTAAGGTTGGGTTCATATAAAACTCTCATCAGGTTAATAATTTAAAAAACTGAATGATTTAAATTTATTTAAATACAATAAAATATTTCATTAATTGTTATTATATTAATATTATTCATTATTATTTTTTTTTTTCTAGTAATTTATATTAATATTGTTCAAATAAGTGATATATTTATATATAAATTCCATCGTCAGTAAGGTTGGGTTCATATAAAACTCTCTCGTTAGTAAGGTTAGGATCATAAAGTTAAAAATAATTTGAAATAATGTTAAAAATAGTTTGAAATAGTATTAAATACTTAAAGATTGATTATTTATGATTTATATTTTAGGCTGTGTGACCCCATAGAAAGAAATGTAGACAATGCTTTAGACAATAGCAATATATTTGAAACTTTAGCAGGAAATTTTGCTGGTATCGTTCAGTATAACAAAGATAATAGAATGAGTAAAGATGGTACTTCTAATATAACTATTGATACGGTAAGATAATTATATAATTAGTTATTTGTTTAATAAATAAACTTATTAGTTTAAATAAACAAATTAGTTATTTGTTGAATAAAATAAACTAACTGAAATATATTTCTTTAATAACGGTTATAATTATAAAGCAGATATATATATATATATATATATATATATAATTATATATATATATAATGTTGGAATTAATTATTTAATTAATTAATTTTAATTAAATATAATTGAAGTTTTCAATCCAGATTATTATTATTATTATTAATATTGCATCTTCAAGAGATTGCTCTCACTTTAGCAATTGAAATAAGATTTCTTAAGATTATTCTTGATTGAAATAAGATAAATAGAAGTTAAAAAAAACTATTCAATTTTTTAACTATATATATTACAATTACTTTTATGTACTTACTTTTTTTAGTATTATGTTAAGTATTAGCATATTACTTTATTAAGTATACATCTTAATATTTTCAAAACAAAATGTTACACAAAAACATTTAAACAACTTTTATTTTGTTGTTATGAAATGCATTTTTTTTATATAGTTTGATTATTTTTTTTAGCTTTGTGATATTATGGTGAACGAAGCCATTGGAACACCTTTGGATCGTCTTGCAGAAGTTAATTCTTTAATGTTAAATGCCACCGATGAGAAATGTTTGGATTACAAATATGATAATATGATTAGTAAATTGAGAAATACATCTTGGGATAGTGAAATGGCTGAAGGAGGTAAAAATAACATAATATATATATATATATATATATATATATATGTGATATAATTAATATATTGTAATAAGGGTTTCAAATTTAACGAAAATAATTCACAAAGAGAGTCGCCATCTCTCCAAATTTTAGTGTACTTTTTCAAGTTATGTTACAAACCCTATTTAAAAGTTTGCTAATAATTGATAAAAGTATTTGTTTTTAATTTTACTCTAATTTATATCTCAAGACTAGTAATAATTAATATTATTACCAGTCTTACTAGTTACTTATTATTAACTTTTATGAACTATTGAATATATAAGAATATTAATAATACATATTACTATATAGTATTAGACATTTTTTGGGTTATTGTTCTATTCAAAACAATGTTCTATTTTTAATTTATTATGCAAACTTTACTTTTTTTTTGCAAAACCTTTATTTTTTAGGTATTCATAAGGCATATCTTATAATATTTATAGCTTTGTTTGCATTTTCAATCTAGTAATCATGTTACAAATTACTTAACTTCATTATTATTATTTTTATTTTTAGTAGAGTCCATTTAAATTTATATCTATTTTGTTTGTTAGTAGAATCCCTTTTTTAAATTCTATTTTGCTCGTCAGTATAGTTCTTTTTCTCTCTAAAAATGTTAGAATTTGCTTTAATTTTTTTTTCAAAATTTTAAGAATTTTTTCAGTTTCTTCTGAAAAATGACGGAATTTTCTTGTTAGTAAAATTCTTATTTTTTCCCAAAAAGTTCTTTTTCAAAAATGTCCGAATTTGTTTGTCAGTAGAGTTTTTTTTTTTCTAAAAACGTTATAATTGCTAAAAATCTCAGAATTCGTTCGTCAGTAGATTTTTTTCTCTCTAAAAATGTCAGAATTTGTTTCAAAATCAATAGTTTATTTTATAAAAATAACAGAATTTGTTATTTCAAAAATGTTAAAAATTGGTCGTCTGTAGAGTTTTTTATCTGGGAAAAATATCAGAATTTGCTCGTCAGTAGAGTTCTTTTTTTCTAAAAATGTCAAAATTTGTTTGAAAATCAATAGTTTTTTTTTCTCTAAAAATGTCAGAATTTGCTCGTCAGTAGAGTTCTCTTTTTTTAAAAAAAAATCAGAATTTGCTTGTCAGTAGAGTTATTTTTTCCTAAAAATGACAAACTTTGCTCGTCAGTAGAGTTCTTTTTATTTTTAAAAAATGACGAAATTTGCGCGTCAGTAGAGTTCTTTTTTTCTAAAAATGTCAAAATTTGTTTGAAAATCAATAGTTTTTTTTTCTCTAAAAATGACAAACTTTGCTTGTCAGTAGAGTTCTTTTTTCTTTAAAAATGTCGGAATTTGCTCGTCAGTAGAGTTCTTTTTATTTTTAAAAATGTCAGAATTTGCTCGTCAGTAGAGTTCTTCATTTTTCTTCTCAAAAATCACATAACTTGCTCGTCAGTAGAGTTCTTTTTTATTTGAAAAAAGATCAGAATTTGCTTGTCAGTAGAGTTCTAAAAATGTCAGGATTCTAAAAATGTTCTTTTTTAAACTAATATTAATAATATATACATTTATGCTAAATATAAATTATATAATGATTCTAGTTTTTATAAAACAATGTTAATTTTGTTTGTTTTACGTTTTGACTATAATAATATGTATAAAATCATTTATTATTTATATATAAACTTAATATTATATTTATATTTATATATATATTTATATATATATTAGGTTGTCAAATATCTCCCTACCGCCTTTTTGTATTATAAACTAATATAATACAAAAGCAAAAAAGCGGAAGGGAGATATTGACAACCTAATATATATATATATATATATATATATATATATATATAAACGTGCAGATTTTTTTTATTATGATGACACACATACAGCGTCGAAACGTACATAATAAATATTTTAATTATTATATTAAGATTAATAATCAATATTATATTTATAGATGTATATTTAATGATGTTTTATTATATTTTATTATTAGTATTTAAGGATATTTTATCATATTTTATTATTAGGTCGACAATGGATGTACCAAACTTGCACAGAATTCGGTTTTTATCAAACAAGTTCACAAAGCGATGAAGATAATATTTGGAAAACATTTTCCTGTCGACTTTTTTATTCAACAGTGCAAAGATATTTTTGGATCGAGGTAAATATCATTTTTGATACCAAATTATCAAAATATAAATATAAATATAATATAAATACCAAATACCAAAACTATAAATTTATATTCAATATTTATTATAATATATCTCTTGAAGTACAATAGATTTATGTTGCGAAAATGAAACATACAAGTTACAATAATTATTATTCAGTATATAATTTTGTTTGAAACTTTATAAATTGTTATACACAGATTTATAGGTAAGTTTATTAGGTTTTTAACAATATATAATATTATTGTTATATTTTAAATATTTATGATAAAAGAAACGTTTATATACAAAATTGCAACCAGTAAAACGTCATTTTGATTTCAAAGTTTAAACATTATTTTTGAACATAATTTTGTTCCAAGATTAATACATTGTTATATACAGATTTATAGATAATTCATTAAGCTTTCTAATGATATAAAATAATATATATTAATTATAACAAATATCTGAACTATAAATAAAAATATAAAAGTGTCTTCAAAATTCATTATAAATATTATTACATTTATATTTATTTTTTTACTTTAGATACTCAATGGACAATTTAGAGAAAGCAGTGGAGCGCACAAATATAATATACGGAGCCCTAAATATTCCTACAACCAGAATTGTATTCGTGCATGGTTCCATCGATCCTTGGCATGCACTCGGAATCACAAAGTCGATGAGGAAGGAAAGTCCTGCTGTTTATATCAAAGGTAATATTTACACATACATATATATATATATATATATATATATTTCTTTTATCTTAGGTACTGCACATTGTGCAAATATGTATCCAGCAAGGGATTCCGATTTGCCTCAATTGAATCGAGCGAGACAGTTTGTAGGGCAGTTGATCAAAAAGTGGTTAAAAGATGATTCATAAGTTTAGATTTGTTTGTTTTTAAAAGTAGTTTTTAATAGTGATGTGTAACAAGTGCAATTGTTATGAAGAACAAGGAGGAAATATACTCAATATTTTTAGACATGTGAGTTTTTTTTAATATAATTATATATATATATATATATATATATATATAAATTTGGATTTTTTGATCGATATTGAAACTTACGCATTTATGAAATGTTTATTTGCAGCCAAATAGACAATATTAAAAAGTAATAAATAATTAGCTATTTATTATGTACGTTTTGGCACGGTATGTGTGTCATCATTCAGCAAATTTCTTTATTTATTAAAACAGTATCTAAAAGAATTTTTACTAAGTTTAAAAAGATTGAAATCTTAAGATTCTGATGCCGCAAAATACATATACATTCCGGAATTCGCGAGTGAAAAGGGTTAATCTTTTTAAACTCTGTAAAAATTTTTTTAGATACTGTTTTAATAAATAAAAAAAAGCTGATTGATGACACACACACTGTAAACGTATGAACGTATAAATAAATAGATAATTATTTATTGTTCTTTTAATTCGACGATTGGCTTCAAATTATAACATTTCACGAATATATATATATATATAAATATATATTGGAAAAAGTATATGTGCGTGTGTGTGTGTATGTGAGCCGATTTTTGATTTTCTCGTCGACGTTTTCTAAGAAACGGCTGAACTGATTTCATAAATTTAAAAGCCATTCGATGTATCTTATTGAGGAGACTATCGTTTCTAAGTTTTGAACAGAGATCGGTCGAGCCGATTTTTCGTAATTAATTGTTGAAATTTTTTGCTATGAAACTTTTTATGCTGATAGACATCATGGTCTTAAAGAACATACTCAAAAATTTACGGCTCTACGCCGTGTTGATTAATTTAAAAAATTCATTAAAATTTGAAAAAAATATGATATTCAAAATTTGTGGCAAAAGTTGTTTTTGTGATATCACAAATTCAAAAGCCATTTTCCGGATTCAGCTGAAAAATAAGTCGTAGTCGTAGTATAAAGTAATCGAAAAAAATCGAAAATGAAAATTCTTTATGTTTATTCTTTATGCATGTCTTTACGTTTCAAAGGTTTCTGAACATTTTGTTGTGGCATACTAATAGAAACTGAATGGATGTATGTGTGTGTGTATATGTGTGCGTGTGTGCGGGTGTGCGGATACAAATTTTCGTCGATGATTTCGGGAACACGGATAAAGCGATACAAAAAACATTCGATTCGTATTGATAAGGAGACGCGCTGATTAGTTTCTGGCGAAGGCAGGTCTAGCCGTTCCGAACATATGGGGCAAAAAGTGCCGAAAACGGTAACGCAGTTTTTAAGAGAACGGAGATTCCGACTTGAATAATTCAAAAAACATTTTATTTGTATTGTAAAAATTTGTAGTGTAAAAAAGTAATTTTTTGTCAAATTCCTAGTTTCTCAAAAATCTAATTTTTTCAAAGTAAAATTTTTTCAAAAATGTTAATCGTTTTTAAAAAAATAATTATATTTGGTACGGGAAGTTCCAGCAATTTGCCTTAAGGCTAGATGCCATGCGCCCCACTAGTTTTGCAAGATATCCTCATCCTCTGAGCAGTTTTCTATTCTACCTCCAGATCCGTGCATTATTTTTGCAAAAAAATTATATTTGCAATTACTTGCTTTTAGCGAAAAGATATTTATATATTTAATTTAACACATGTATAGTAATCTTTATTAAACTTGCTTAAGAATTATTTAATATATTTATTGTTCGGATAGTCCTAGAATTTTTTTTCGATAGATCTTTTGCACTAGTTTCATCACATTTATTGAGCTTTTGTACGGCGATTTTACTAATTTTAGTAGTTTCATTAAATAAAGATTGCTTTTCATAGGTGTTACTATATTTCTTATTTTATTAAAACCGTGTTATGAGGGGAATGGTCTCAATTCTTAAACTTTGTACATGCCAATTTTAAACGAATCCGGGTTATAGAAGTGCCGTGTTATGCGGGGGTTACTTGTATTTAAAAATATTTAATATTCTTCGAATATTTCATTACGGTAAGGAAATGTCCAGCAGTTTGATTTCAGGCACGATGCCATACACCACTAGTTTTTCATTTTAAAACAGTAATTAAATAGTTAATTCGTAATAATTCAATGCGAGCACTGTTGTCTTTTTCTTTGTAAATTCTCATCTCCTATTTGTCAAGAGCTCGAAATAATATAAATAAATAGTTCATCCCTGTGTAGTTAATATCCCCACTATTTGCAAATATACGATTTTGTTTGCTAGAATGACTAAAGGTAAAAATCATGTAAAAACCCTTAGTAAGGTCTTGACAAGTTTACGGGATGGTGTATTGTGACGTCATAATAAAATGCATTTAATCGTACTTACGTATTCCTATAATTCAATAAATTTACGCATTTACTACAATTTATAATAAATATATAAAATATATTTATTTTATAACTATTTAAATTCTAAAGTGATATTTATCAATAGTTCAATATCAGTTAAATTAACAATTAAATAAAATCCAAACAACCAAGTGTATTTATATCGAACCACATACGTATTTATAAGAAATCTTCAAGTGTTTTGTTACATTTTTACGTATTTATAATAGTAAGTTAACGTTTTATAATAATTTGTAAATCAATATATATATATTTAGATAGTTCATTGTTGCATTGTTGCTTAGTAAGTAATAGTAACTAAGTATTAATTAATATATAATTTAAAAATTAAACATACGAACAAACATCGTGCGTTTATATTATAATTACGTAATAATTTCACGTCTAATTGAAAGTAAAAGAATTAAAAATTCTACGTATTTATAATAATTTATGAACGATTTTAGTGCTAAAATGATATTTACCAATAGTTTAATATAAACTAAATCAGCAATTAAATAAAATCCAAACGACCAAGTGCATATATATATCGAACTACATATGTATTTATAAGAATTCTTTAAGTGTTTTGTTAAATTTTTACGTATTTCTAATAGCAATTTAACGTTTTATAATAATTTGCAAATCATTATAGTTCAGTGTTGTATTGTTGATTAGTAATTGATAGTCTAACTATTAATTAATATATAATTTAAAAATTAAACATCCGAACAAACATCGTGCGTTTATATTATAAAATAACGTAATAATTTCATATCTAAGTAAAAGAAATAAAAATTCTACGTATTTATAATAATTCATAAACTATTCCTGTATCGAAGTGCTATTTATTAATAGTTATATTTAATGTTTAATATATTTGTTTAACTTTATTATTTTATCGTGCATTTATTTTAAAATTACGTGAACATTTGTAACATTTTTACGTATAAATTTGTAATATTTTTAAGTATAAATTACATATTAATTTGTAATATTTTTAGGTCTTTTTTATATCTCTTCCTGAATTTCATATATTTGTAATAATTTACTAATTATTTTAATGACGAAGTAGTGTTTATTAAATAATAGTTTAATTATTTATTAAGTTTAAAAATAAAACGTGGAATATTTATTAACTTCCCGTAGGGTAGTTATAGTAATCGTCCAAAAATCGAAAATGAAAATTTTTATAGATTTTTACGTTTCAAAACCTTCTGAACATTTTACAGGCGTTTCTTAGAAAAAATTGATGTATGTGTGTGTGTGTGTTTTGTATGTTCGCATTTTTTCGTCCACGTTTTCGGGCGCACGGATCAACCGATTTGAATGGTTTAAAAAACATTCGATCTCTATTGATAGGAAGATGTGCTGATTAGTTTTTGGCAAAGGCAGGTCCGGCCGTTACAGAGATATGGAGCAAAGAGTGCAGAAAATAGAAATCGAGTTTTTGAGTGAACGGAGTATCCGATTTGAATGATCTAAAAAACATTCAATTTGTAATGATTGGGAAAAGTGGTTATTAGTTTTTGGCAAAAGCAGGTCTATCCGTTTTGGAGATACAGAGCTAAATGTTAAAAAAATGACAGTTTTCGAGTGAACTAAGCGTCCGATTTGAATGATTCAAAGAACTTTCTGCTTGTATTGACAAAACAATTGCTTTTGAGGATAAAAAATTATTACATCTTTTTTTAATTTTCATAAAATATTTTTGTAATTTTGTGTTAAAAATTCAAAAATTTACCCAGGCTAAGCGCAGTCTAAGCGCCACTCTGGTACAAATGCGTTACCCAAGTGCGTTTAGACTGTTTATGTACTGGAGCACTTTTCCAATTTTGTGAAAACTATTGAAAAATGTGAAAATGCCGCCAAGCTAAGCACAGTGCAAGTGAAAATGTCGCTCAGAATTATTTGCAAATGCGTTTAGACTGTGACTATACGGGAGCACTTTTTCAATTTTTTGTAAAAAATTAGGTATTTTTTTTTTGAAATTGAATTCGAAATGAAATGACGATTGTTAATGATCTCAAATATAACAAGATAGCAATAATAGTAATGAAAGTTACAGTATTCGTAATATATTTGAAAACATTTAAAATTTCTCGAATATTTCATTACGGTACGGGAAGTTCCAGCAATTTGCCTTAAGGCACGATGCCATACACCGCTAGTTTAATATTTATTTAGAAGTTCGAAAATAAAACGTGGTGTTTATTTATTGCAAATTTAATTTTATAATTTGTATTTTATGTCACGATAATTCTTTATCGGTTTAAAATTGTAGTAAATCACTATCGTAGTAATATTTTTGAATAATTTGATTGTTATTTAATATAAATTTTAATACGAACGCAGTATATTTTGATTTCTGTATTGAAAATATAAATTATATAACAATTCAAAGTTACTATCTTATGTTTTGCTATCAATTTTTTATTTAGATTAATTTTAATATAATTTTGCATAATATAATATATAATTTTGCATTAATATAATTGTTAATATATTTCAATGTTTAAATGGTCTAGTGCATTTTATATAAAAAAAATATAAAAAAATATTAAATAGTATGAAATGTCGAAATGATTTAAAGTAATATTAAAGTCATATATATATATATATATATATATATATATTTTTTGTAGAGTTTCGAACAAGAATCCAAAAATAATACAAAATAA